AATACACACAAGTACATTACAGCTAACCACAATGAAGATACTGCTTTGTTTCTCATGCTTGTATCTTAGAATTTACATAAACAAGTTAACACATTCTCACCTATCAAGAACTTAATGCTGAAAAATCCTATAGAAGCAGCAATTTCTGCTTACTTGAATGCAAATCACAAAGACACCACACTGAGAAACAGAATCCTAAAGCAAGTGCAGCTGTAGGTCATAAAAATCAGAAATTAAGAACTGTACTTGAGAAAATAAACATTCCTCTCTAGAAGTAATACTAATAACTTTACCAGAGGATAAATATAATTTATGCAGTGACAGCAATAAAAAATGACAACGTTCAGACAGGATACTCCACTAGGATATGTATCTCCTCTACACTCCACCATCCAATCCCTTTCACATAAGACTAGCTGTACATTTAAAAAAAACATTTTATAAAATTTATATCTACAAATGCCATTACCGAGAGAACTGAATGCTTAAAATGAAAATACTTAAATTTGCATAACTGCCTTCAATAGCATTTAAATCACCACTAGAAAGTCCTAGAGCAATTCTCCAGTTATGCTCAGTCAGCACTTTCACATCTCTAGGGACACTGAGCTAGAAGTTGAATTACCACTCTCCTTTGGGAAGTACGCTTACCTTTCTACACATCAATTAAGCTTCTAAATCTAAAAACAAGGGGGAACAAAAAAAGAAAAACATGACACAAACTGGTATTTACTATCAGATGTGATGTGTAAGCGGCAAGAAGACTTTCACTTTCTCACCTGTCAGTAGGTTAGAATTCACAAAGAGAGAGAAGGCAAATATACAATTTGGGAACAGTGTAAAGAAAGCAAGTTAGAGCTGGTGACTCCCAGAGGAAACAAACCACAGACACCTAGAGGAGCAGTCAATATTCATTATACAAATATTTATACACATTAAACTTGTTCATTAGAAACTGAAATGAGGAATAATAATGTTTTCCATTGTGCTCTGCCAAAATAAAAAATAAGTAATACTTTTCATTTACAAACATATCAACTGCCATGCCCTATTCCCTCTCCATAAGCCAATCCAAGCCAACCCAATACAATTCTTTAGATTCATGGCTAACAACAGAAATTATGGGTTTGGTCCCACAAAGTGAAATCCACACATATATCCAACCATGAAGCAGTTCGTCAGCACTTAACCCTCTCTTTACAAGTGGACATTGTTATTTATAAACTAAAATACAAACCAACATACATCACTGGATTTCTACATTTTAAAAAGACCATTAAAAATTCAATCTGTTGCCTTCAAGTGCAGCAATCCTTGATCCCTTACTAAGCTTCCTCGTGGCAGAGCATAACAGAATCTCCAGTTTATACTCTCACACAACCGTGCTCTCCTTCCATGAATTCTGACAGGAACTGCCACCCCCTTCCACCACAAAACTAATCGATAACCAAACATTTTAATCTTTCTTTGTCCCAGTGTTACACTACTGAGGCAGATTAGATTTTTCTAATTTATTTCACACTTAACATTTAAATTAGAGCATAGCTGGCTGAAATATTACAACTTAAATGAATGTGTAACTTAAAGATCAAATTCTATCCTCAACAGATTTACATAAAAGGACAGAAAGGATAACATTTGTCTACCAGCATGTTACGTGGATCTCCTTAACTCAATTTACTACGGATTTCATGGTGCAAGAATTAATGCCCCTCCAGGAACTGAAGTCATTACCAATTACTTCTCCCACACCTACAACATAATCCTATTTCCCTGTAACTAGTGGAAGTTTTGCCACTCGCCTGAAGGCAAGTTGTGTTTGTTCCTTGATTTGTTACTCTAGCAAGTGGTACTCTAGCTAAACGATGTCACAGATGTGGGCTTCTTTCTAATAAGAAAATAACATTAAGAACCAGTGTGATGTAATTTATTGCCTGCTAAAATTGTGATTCCCATACATATTGATAATTTTAACTATGCAAAAAGTTGCCAACAGAATTATGTTTGTCAATGTGAACTTCTAGTATAAATTTTAGCAACAACAAACATAGATTCTTTTTTTTGTGTCCTGCCTTTTTTCTTTAGACAATTCCCTAAAAACCAGAATCAATGTCCTACAGGTCAAAGCTCCTTTTTTTTCATATCTTCTCAATACTCCTTTTCGTTACAGGACTGCCCAACAGGCTGATGCATACCAACACTATCAGATGCACTCTCATTCTAAATGGATTCCCATATATATAGAAACACTTTTCTTTTTAAGAATTGCCTAAATAAGAAAATGCGTATCTGCTGGCCCACAGGTTGACTTGGTTTTATTTTTTGACTTGTTAAAATTGTGTTACTGCTGTGTCACGCAGCACATTCACTCACAAAAGAGGAAGCCAGATGCTAGATCTTCTTATGATGTTAGGCTCTATGTTCACACGGGGATTCCACCATTCATCCCCTTCCCTACAAAAACACACGTGTAAGTGGTGTGCAACCTATGCCACCACCCTGCAGTAATTACTATTTTCCATTTTAACCTGGTTGTTTTTTTTTTTTAACCTGTCCTTAACAAACGTATAAAAGTCTACGTTAAGTGGCACCATGGCAAACAGAAGTCTGCTGCTATAGTTTCATACTATGGACCACAATGCCAGCAAGGAGCATGCAAACCATCTTACCATGTAACAAATTGGTGGATCAAAGTAGCACAGATCCCTCTCAATAAATGAGCGTGCACACTGGCTCCTTTCACAGCTGAGTCCCTTCCTTCAAAAGGAATGGGCCACTGCCACAGATGATACTTCCAGGAGTTGCAAAATTACCATGTGCCAAAGTTTGTTAACACACTGGAGCCCAGGTTTTGTGGTTTTTCGTTTGTTTCTTTCTTTCTTTTAAATAAGTTTTTAAACACTTATTGCCCTTTACTCTCAGCTCATGTCTATCTTCCTTCTTTTGATTCTTGTGATCAATTAATAACTTAATGATTATTTCCATGTATCAGCATCAAAGCCATGTTTTCACCCCTCTGTCACTTTCTACCAAGCTCTGAATGTTTCTTTGTGTTTCTACCAACTTCATGACTCTCAAAAACACAACGTGCTAATGACCAGGGCTGGGTCAGAGAGTATTAACTCCACACTCCTGTAACTGCCAGAAACCCAATTGCCTAGGTGCAAGGAGAGCCCAACAAAATTGTTTTCTTTCTTTCTTTTTTTTTTTTTTTTTTTGGTCAAGTAAATCAATTAATACCCTAATCAGGTATTTCTAGTATAGCATAGAATGACTTCTAAAAATGGATAGAGAATAACAAAATGCAAAGAACAAGAGTAACACTTCCTTCTCCAAAAGGAGAAAAGTAATAATTTAAACAAAATAACCATATCAAGAAGTCTAGTTAGTTCTGAAAACTGGGGATGAATATTTTTTAAAGTTTCATTTTCTACCCACTAAGATGGGAGAGTTATTCTCATTGCGAACTGTGATGGGGATCAGAAATAGGCTATAAAAAGAAATGTGGTGTTGCTGCATGAAAAACTTTAACAATTTCAAAAAGGGTATACAGAAATGCACACAATAAGGAGTTGTTCATTAAATATAAGAGACTACATCACCTTCTTGACACCGAGATCCACTAGCTTGGTTTGAGGCTTACCAGTCTGGGCATTTAGAATAAACTAGACAAAACAAGTAAGCAATGGGCAGGAGGGTGCTTTGCTCCCGTCTTTTCTTGCCACAGGCAAGCAAAGTTCTGGGAAGGGCTGCAGTCCCTTCAGTAATGCTGTCACTGTTCAGATGCAGCACAGCTTTACAGCTCCATCTCTTTCCCCCAAGCCTGCAGCAGAAGTTGTCCTTTCTAAAATACGGTACATGATTGTTACTGCTCAGCCCTTCCATTCACTTACTATATTGCACCTAGAGCTGCAGTCACTTATCCTTAGCTGGACAGGTAAGGCAAACGCATCACTTTCAAGAGAATGAAATCGGCGATGAGCAGAAGAGCAGCTTCCCCCCCACGCTCGCTCACGGAACTGCCCGTGTACAAGGCTCAGCTTCACACCTCTGCCTAATGGCTGAAAGGCCTCACTGTGTATGGCTACCTTTTGTTATGAAAACAAAACCAAAATAAAAACAGAATGGCCAGCCACTTCACACATTATGTTTATCTTAACAATTTAGACTTCGTTTAACTTTCCCTAAAAGTTTACAAAACATTTAAGTCAATGACACAGCGTGTTTAAATGAACAAAGAAGATAAAAACGGTGGCTCCTGTCGATCCAAGGGTGCGCACTGCCATAGTAAAATATGTCCTCAAAGACAGACAGAAACAATTCTGCAAATTGCTTGCACTCAAAAAATATTGTTCCTTGCTTCAAATGAAATAGACCTTTACAGCATCATTAAGGAAACAGGCTCCTATGAAGCTTACTTGAAGTACAAAACACATGGGAACTTCTTAAAGATGTTCTTCATAAGTCATGAATTTTCAAAACAGAAGCACAGACTTACAAGCTTTACTTTGGTATTTGTTAATGCATGTGGGTGTTTTTTTGGTCTGTTTTTCCTCTCTTTTTAACGCATTACAATTCTGAGTGCCGCCCGCAACCCGTTCTTGCTTGACTACAACACCCAGCTCTGACCTTCCCGGTTTTGCTCGGGGAGGATAACCCCAAGCTCCCCCTGTGACTTTTCCTCCCCGGAGGAGCAGCTGCCCGTGGTGTCCTCTCCCACCGAGCTATTTCGCACTCCGAGCCGCGTACCCCTGCGCGGCCAACTCGCTTCCCACTTTCCCAGCCATACGGGGAACGACCAGCGCTTCTCCAACGCTGCGCACCCTCGTCCTGCACAGCCGCTGACCCGGCGGCAGAGCAGGCCCGGCGGGAGGCGGGGAGGGCCGAGGGGGCGGAGAAGCGCTGCGGGCACAGCGCGGGGCCCCACCGCGGGAGAAGGGCCGAGCTGGAACCCGAGCGCCGCGGAGCAGCCGAAGGAAGCTCCCCGCCAGCCCCGTTACCTGCGCGCTCCTCCCCCGCGGGCAAGCTGCCGGCGTGCAGCCTTCACAACAAAGCCCGAGAGCTGCGGCCGCGGCAGGAGGAGGGCCGAACGCACCACCCCCACGAGAACGCAGCGTGCAAGGGCCGGCGGTGGGGCCGCGGTCTGAGGGCGGGGCCCGGCGGCACGGCACGGCACGGCTGCGGGGGTGGCTGCGGACTCGGGCCGGGCGATGCAGGGCAGCCGGCGCCGCCGTGCGGGCGGGAGAGGTAGCGCAAGGCTGAGGTCTGCGGGGCGGTGTGCGGACACAGCTGGCGTCTGGCAGGCTTGTCCTCCCGTGCGCGGGAAAAAGTTGTTTTCTTTTGGAGGGGTTAGCGATGGAGTGCTGCCCAGACTGGCGAGGAGCGGTATTCCCCGCCTATGGAGAGAGAAGCGCCGCCAAGGCCATGGAGAGCCGCATTGGTTTGGGAAGAGGCCACATGGAAATGGGATTAAGCCTGGAAGTGCTTTGGGAAACCTACATAATGGGAACGCTGCCTATTGAGGAAGCATAGGGAGGGAGAAATGCAATATATGTGAGAATTTAACGGTGACGGGGTTAACACATTTGTGTTTTAAATACAAGCAAATTTTTATGTAAACCTTTTTGTTGCAGTGACACCTTGTGCAGACAACAACTCTAACCAAACACCTTCTTCATCTGGCCAACTCCAAATTTTCTTGACTGTTGAACAACTCCAACAAGTCTAGCTTAATACCAGATTTGCTATTTGTAATAAAAAAGCATTGCATAGTGAGACCTACATCCCTGCAATAAGTGAAGTAGTGATGTTTCAGCATCTGCTTTTTGTTGATACCAAACACTGGAGAACTGGTGATCCTACTGTATTTAATTGAGCAGCAGTCTCAAAGTGCAAAACCAAGGGAAATGATGCTAATGTTAATGAAACACTGAAGTTGAGATTTCAATTACTTAAATGTCAACACATTATAAGTTCTTTAATTTTAGGAAGTTATTCTGCATTCCCACAGCAATTCCCACTCTGCTCTTACATATATTAAAGAATTCAAGTTACTGCTTGTTTGCTGATGCTTGCAAATTATCTAACTGAATATTATAGCTCAGTTTTATTGTTTTATTAACTCTTTTGTGTATATTTTGTGTGTTCTTGTGTTTTACAGTAACGATAAAAACTTCCCTTTTCTCTTTGTTCTGAATTGTTGAAGGCTGCATTTCATTTTATCCTTGGAACTTCCGGTCACTTAGCAATGTTTGTTGCTAAACTGTCACAACAGACACGCACACACTCTACAAACCAACTTATCAGAACAATACTTCAAGAGCAGACTTCATGGAAGCATTTTCCAAATATATATTTTATTAAGTTATATTTAAGTTTTGACTTCCAAATTCTAAGGTACCTGCAATTGCTTCTCAAAACAGGAAAACATTTGCAAAGGTTTGGCAAATGATTGTCAGAAAGGCAAATGAAGGGGATGAAAGTACTGCAGTTTCAAAACCTTATGCACAAAACCCATTTGTAGGCTGTTAAAGAATCCTCCCTTCTCAAATTGCACCTCATCACAGAACATTATGGGTTTTTGTGTGTACACAGGTTATTTCCCAGTGAATGAGGTGGACCACAGATCCCTTTTCTAACAGAAAAAGAACTGAGTACCAACATTTGCTTTCAATAGCTGTGCTGCAGGAATATATAATATGCATCTTGTTACAAATAATGCTTTTAAGAGACTTTAAACTTCTTGACTTGGTGAGATAACAGCAAACTGTGGTGGTGTTGTCTTCTTTTTTATTTGTTTGTTTTTGTTTTCCCTCTAGTGAAGTGAAAAAATAAGGATGCAAAAACTATCTTTCTTTTCCCTTTCTTTTGGAGATGTGCCAGCAAATCTAGCCTAGTTTTATTTCATAAAGTTCAAGGTTATTAATGGAATCACTTTGAAGATAATGTTAAGGATTTCTGACTCAAAAGGAATATTCTTGTCTGCGTTAGCATTGTAGAGCTCTTAGCAAGAAAACAAATTAAACCCAAGTTATCCGAGTGGTTAACAGCAATCTAGAATCTTATTCAAGAGACATTTCCTTTAAAATCTATGTTCTTAACTCTAATAAATGTACCATTGAGATCAACACTAGCTCTGTTCTCTCCTCAAAACCAATGGAACCATGCTTGTATGTAAGTATCTTCTCACTGTTAGGTAAGGACCAAGTTTGAGCTGAATGAGCCTTCTGTTGGCTTAAGAAAAAGTAGTAGTATTAGAAGAAAAAATGGAGAGGACTGTGAGAAACCACAGTGCTAGTCAGAGTTAGGGAAAAGACAGCAACAACAGACATGTTGACATTTATACCTATGCCCAATGTCTCTGAGAATAAATGCCCTTGGCTGCTCCACATCCATACAGGTGATCTGTTCTCCCCTTCAGCAGTGTAGCCCTGCCAACACAGACTCTGGAGAAGAGCCTCTGGCCAATATCACCCCCTGCACTGTATCCTGGCATCTTCTGAAAAGCGTCGGTTGGCCTTGGCAGGAATAACGCTGGAGACTGTCAGAACCAGGGCTGACTGTCACAGTGCTCAAGGCCAGGGAGCTTTTGCTGAGCCTGTGGGTTTGCATGACGCATGCACCGTCCACCCCAAATCACCGTGTCCTTTGACCACCAAACAGCAGCAGCCATAGTCCAAAGGTTTTTACAGCACAGTGCGCTTCAGGAAGATGGTGAGTGAGCCAAATGGCACCACCGACGCCTCCTGAAAGCAGAACAGTGAGGAGAACTGGTGGGCGTTCGCTGGGTCTCAGCCCCGGCGGGGACCGGGACTGCAGGAAGCGCGTGTAGTGTGGCACAAACCCCACAAAGTAGTAAATGGGCCGAGGCGGTGCAGGTGGCAGCCGCTCCGCCAGCGCGCTAACAGGACACGGCTGCTCTCCCAGCAGTGCAAAGGGCTGCCGGGCTCGCAGCCAGAGTTCAGCCGCCAGCCCGAGCCTCGCGCTGCGGCCGTCAGGGGCCGGCGGGCAGAGGGCAGGGCCCGGCTCTACCCGGGCCGTGCTGCGGCCCCCCCGCAGATAACCGCGGCTCCCCGCCTCCCCCCGGCTCCAGCGGGACGGCTCTGCCCCCCTCCCGCCTCGCGCGGCCCCGGCCCCGGCTCGCAGCCACTCTCCGGCAGCCGACCTCCTCGGTGCGGTCACCATGGCTCGGCAGCGCGGCGGCTTTCTGCAGGAGGCCTCTCACCAGATCGCCGCCGGCGGCTCGGCGGGTAAGTGCACGCTCCCTTCGCGCGGGCCCACGGCGGGGAAACTGCCCGTCCCGTCCAGCCGCGCCGCGTTGCTACAACGCACGAGGCGGTGGGGAACGACTCTGTGAGGCGGCGGCTCCTCCCCCGGCGGGAGCGGGAAGGGCGGGTGGCCCCTCGGGCGGAGCGGGGGGTCTCGAGGATCCCGTTGCCTTGGGCAGCGTTGCCGGATCGCTGCGGTAACTTCTGGAAGCGTGCTGCCCTCCCGGGGGCGGGCGTCTGCGGCGTATCGCTCTCAGCGCACTCCGCAGCCCTGTAGGCGATAAGGCTGCCGTTCAACCGCTCAACCCTCGCGGGACGCGGTAGTGTGTAGGAAAAGGTCCCTCTCGGTTTGCAGGACAGCTGTAGTTACGTTACATTACTTGGACTGGGAACTACAAACGTCAAAGCCGCCCACATCACTCTGTGTAATAGCAAAAGCACTGCTGGGTCATTTCTTTAATCTGCTTCCCCTACATAACAATAAACTTTAAATATTTATGTTAGGTGTGGGGAGTGTTGATACCAGATCCTGCTGTTTCAGCGTGTTTGTAAATCCTGTTGGCATCTCAGCTATGCATTGTGTTTTTAATTGGTTTTTAGTATCATTTTCAGTCAGCATGCTGTTTGCCATGTTATGTTATAATGGAGAGAGGAAAACTGTGTTTTATGTATCGTTTTGGTGGCGTTGTGCTTCTTTTTTGTGCCCCTGACTTTGCAGTCCTTAATGTTCAGCCCTTGGCTTTGACAAGGAGATGTCACAACAGAAAAGAGCTGTGCTGTCCTGGCCTTTTCCATGTGCGGTGGAGGTGGCAGCCGCTCCGCCAGCGCGCTAACAGGACACGGCTGCTCTCCCACCAGTGCAAAGGGCTGCCGGTCTCGCGGCCAGAGTTCAGCCGCCAGCCCGAGCCTCGCGCTGCGGCCGTCAGGGGCCGGCGGGCAGAGGGCAGGGCCCGGCTCTACCCGGGCCGCGCTGCGGCCCCCCCGCAGATAACCGCGGCTCCCCGCCTCCCCCCGGCTCCAGTGGGACGGCTCTGCCCGCCTCGCGCGGCCCCGGCCCGGGCTCGCAGCCACTCTCCGGCAGCCGACCTCCTCGGTGCGGTCACCGTGGCTCGGCAGCCCGGCGGCTCTTATGTAGCTTTGGAAATCCTATAATGTTTTTAGGCTCTGCTTGGTACCCACCCCCTCTTTCCCCATTCAAGAAGGAGGATTTAATCAGTGCCAGCCTGTTGAAGGCTCTTCAAACCTGGTGAGATACCAAGATGTTTTGGCAGCAGTTGTTCTGCAAGATGACATATTTCTCTGCCTGTAGCTGAGGGTCTGTATGTAACTGATTCAGACTGATTGATTTCTGTACTCTGAAGTCAGTCTGCTTTCTTTAAAAAAATTGTTTGCAGAAGGGTAGTTTGGATAACTATCCTAGTTTGGAAAGAAAATTGTCACAGAGCTGAAAGGACAGTCTTAGAGAGGGACTGCAATTGGAAAACGGAAGTATGTGTGAGGGTGGTGTAGGGAAGAGATAGACTAAAAACTGCTTATCCGGCAGGCATAAATTTTAAGACAACTTTCAAGGAGACAACTAATCTGCACCTAACACTTTTTCAAGTATGATAAGGAAAATCTATTGCATTTAATCCAGAGGCATACTGCTAAAGTGCTTGCAACAATTTGTGTGGTCTCTTGTCAGGCATGTTCATTAGCACCATCACTGACTTAGAATCTGTGCAGAGATCTCTACTCATTGGGTTTGAAGTAAACAAGGACTGTTCCTTAAATCCTTAAATAACTGCAGCATCATGACAGAGGAGTTTTCAGGTATTGGAGGGAAATGGATGAAACTTGAATATTAACACTCATGACACATGCTTAGAAACTCAGTGGAATTCTTGTGATTTATAGAGAAGATAGAAGAGGAAGGCCTTAGCTTTGAGGTCTTTAGTCCAATTGTTAAATTTCAGACAAGTGTGGATCCAACAGGGAGGTGATGAAAGCAGGAAGGAAAGGATGGTGGGTGTCAGTTGCTGAGAGTGTACTTAGTATTTCATCCATGCAGGGGACTTGGTTTCCTGAATTCAGTTTTCCAGTATCACTTTTTGACAACCCGTATTGCTTTTGGCTGCCTCTGCAGAAGGACCGGGGGTTTTTGTAGGCCCTTTGTCATATTTACTAGTGCGCAAATACCACAGATACCATAGGGTGTCTGTGATACCTGTACCACAGACTGATATTTAGTAGGAAACTGGGGAAAAAAAAATCACAATATGAATGAATGCATAGATTTTAAGAAGTTCTGATCATCTTATCTCATACAGTTAAGCAAAAGGAGTGTAGGAAGGAAGCTCTAAGAAAGTTGCCCTAATTTGGTGTCTTTGTCAAAACAGAGGTAGGAAAGTAGCAAGGTAAGTCAGAGAACAAACTGTACACCAGAGTGGGTGTAATGAATGTCTGCATGAGTAAAATGAGAAGTTAGTTAGCATCCGCATGTCTGATGCAAAAGGATCTGAGAAGATGTAATTTTGCTAGGTCAAGTGGAAAATGATTAGAGATAAGTCTAAGCTGTCAGAACAGGAAGAAGGGGATTTTTGGAGCTTTATGGAAGGTGTCAGGGCTTGTTCATGTACTTGATAAAGAGAGAGGAAGGGGGAAAAGAAATCAAGCTTGACACCTAGTCTACTTGACAAGCTTGACACATCAGTCTACAAGCCTGATAGAATGGAAGATACTGGCATGCTGAAGTAAGGAGAAATGCAAGCATTTGGTGCTGTAAAAGAGAAGATTTTAGCATACTGTTGTGTGTTTGAGACGTTTCAGAGTTAAAGATAAACTCAGTCAGTGCTCTGATACCACTGAACTGTAACACTCAGGCATGACAGGATCTCAGACCTTCTTGATGTCTATGGCAAAGAGTGCATCTGCTTCTGTGGAGCTCAGAGTTTGACTTCATGTTAGGCTGAAAGCTCTGAGGGTGACCTCAGATCTTAAATATGAGGTTTTACTTAGTCTTGATGTATGTTCTTCCTGCTGATTTTCAGTTTGCTCTCATCTTTTGGATTCCTGGATTGATCAACTATAATAGAGAATAATTTGATTTTGTTTGCTTGCCTAGGTGTATAGAGATGAACAGGAGTTTGACTGAAATACTATTGGGGCACTTCATTACTAAGTTTTGCCCCTTCCAGTGTAGAGAATTGATGGTGTATTCCTTTTCTCTTGTGGGTAATTAGTACACTAAGGCACGTGTGGAACTTACAGGAAAAAATAAACAGAAAACAAACCCTTTAAACTGTAAAAATCATTGTGAAAGGAAGAGCTTTTGAATTTGTAACTGCAGAATTGCTTTATATTTAGGAAGACAAAATGGTTATTTCAGCAGCCCTGTACATGCAGAGTTAAAGTAATGGGAAGAATAATTTATTTCTCCGTTTCATAAGGATCAGAAAATAATTATTTTTTTCTGCCAGTATAGAAGAGGCAGAAATTAAAGCGATAAATAGTGTTGCATGCAAAGTCAACAGAGATTTCATTCCATAGATAAAGGAATCAAACACTGCCAATTACATTCTGTGATACCTGAGTAGATTTGCCAAGACATTCAGAGAGAAGGCTCTTGAGTCAATTTGAAAGATTGAGTGAAATGTCATCTTAAACAATTGCACAGAGGACTATTGGCTGAGTGAAGTGGCTGAATTTGGCTGAAGGTTTTGAATTTGGCTACTCTGAGTGTTTTAGCATGTTGCTGCTTGGTATAGGTGTGTGTTCATTATTATTATTTTTTTAAATTGTAATAAGTTTGCAGATGGAAACAGTTAGCTAAAACTGCAGGTAATGTAAATACAAAGTAAATACAACTGAGATTTTATGTTCATTTCTTTTGCTCCCATATACCTTCACATAAACATGATTATCATCTTTAATTTTGAAGTAAAAATGTTGAAAGGTTTATTCACTATACGTAGTAGGTGATAAATACAAAAGATCAAGTCTTTTAAATCTGTAATATTTAACTCATCTTTAAATACTTTCCTACTATAATTCAGTGTTTTTAGTTTCTTAATTCTGTTTAATAAATCATCATGAACTATTGACTTTCTATTATTGCCTAATGAATATGGGAAAGTCAGAATGAGCTGTTTCTGTGTTGGTTTTTTTTTGTTTTTGTTTGTTGTTGTTGTTGTTTTTTTAATAAAGGTATTTACTTTCTATGTAAGAATAACTGTAGCTGGTCTTTTTTTTTTTTTCCCCTCATTCTCCATATCTTCATGAAACAGCAGGATTTCTGCCTGTCTAGACTTCTGGGCTTTGATTTTTTTTGAAAGAGTTAGGTTTCCAGCAGCATTGAAATCTAATAGGATTTGGGAGTCTAATTCTCTTAAGCTCCTTTGAAAGTCCAAACCTTGTCTTTTGAGAGGTGTTTTATTTCAAGAGTAAGCAGAGTTGATTATCCTGGATTGCAGCAACTCCTTTGAAGCAGATCTATAACAGGAAAACCAATCATCGGAGTGAGAGTGTTGGATGCAATATTAAAAGCAGTTTTTGGTCCTCCTATCACTAGAGGCATTAAGCTGGCAAAAATCACTGCAAGGCATGCCAGCCATCATAGTCTGAAACACCTGAGGTTGTTTGGTTGTTTGGCCTATACAGAGGGGAGAAGGAGCATAATGGAAGAATAGGAAGCACTTTCAAGTAGTAAGAGAATTGGCTAATTCTCCACTTCCCCCCTTCTGTTCCCCCCCATCCCCCAGGTGTTGCCTTGATTATTTTGCTGACTCTTTCCTTTTTTTTTTTTTTTTTCCTGAAAACTAAAATTTAGGATGACCACTTTGTGTTTTCCTCATTGCTTTTTTCTTGCTTTTAAGTCATACTCTCGGCATTCACGTATTACTAAAATAATCACTTAATGCTCAGAGGTAGTTTCAACTAGCTAAGTATAAAGCTAAAGCTGCTAAATATCTTGACATGAAACCACATGGTTTTAAAGTGCTCAAACTTTATTGTTTCTGAAGTCTTTTAAGGTTGAAATATTATCTGAGTATGTCTTAGTTGTTTTTCACTGCTTCTACTAAACTGGCATTTTGGACATTAACAGAAACTGCTTATATTAACGAACGAAGAGTAGGAATCAGTTAAATAGAACCAATTTCAGGAAAAAAAGTCTTGCAAGCTAAAGTATTCCAAGGGAATGAACTTATTCTTAGCAGTAAAGCTAATTTTCTCTGCTGGGCTGAGAATTGGTGGTTTTGTATGAGATGCTGGGCTTAGTGTTTCAGAGGGGAATTTCTTCTTTGGAAGCAGGGTGGGAAGAAGTTTGGGTGAAGAGAAAATGAAAAAGGTCAAGGTT